TGAATAACTTTTGTGATGTAGTTAGACTCGAGTGCAGGCTTACAAGCTTGGACGATAGCCTCCCCGCCTTGAACAGCATCAACCAGATATATTGCATCTGGAAAGGAAAACTGCACAAACAAAAATTCATCAACTGGAAAGCTTCTCTTTTTTTTCTTGGGTTGGATAAGTGTTATCAACTGAAAGCATTACGAACACCAGGTTAGGCTGCAAATAACATTTTTGTTTTGATCTAAAATAAGCTAAAGAAACAAGCAGGAAAATTTAAAAGCAAATCTGAATATGATGATTAAGCCTCCAATCCAGCAGACAAGAACAAAAGAAATTAGACACAAGGATTCAGAGGCCCAATTACTTAGAAGATCAAAGTCTTGAAGGCAAGGCTACAAGCACAAGGATTAAATTTAGCACAAGGCACATTTAAAATTACTTTTAAGAACTCCCAAAATATACTTATTCCAATCTAAATGACTCAATTTGACTAATATGATGATTTGGAAGAATTAACATTTTAACATGTAATTAGTTTGAGGTATGTCTAACAATAGCTATGACTTAGTATGAAAGTCAAGTACTATGTTAGAAAGATATCACATCGGTGCTAGAAAAGTCACAGTATTGCCTATCAACCAATAATAGTTGAATACAGTAAATTTATAATGAATTCTTTGAGACAGTTAAAGAGGGGGGTAAAGTCAATTGAAACAAACCAAAAAGGCAGTGGAAGTTAACTGCATTAGGAACAGTTGTAAGTTGTAACTTGCATAAAAGTAAACATTGGAAATGCAGGGAATACAAAAGTAGCTAGAGAAGAAGGAAACGAGTAATAAGATCATCAAAAAGAATGCATGCTGCCACCGCATCATGAGATTTTTTCAAATTTAGAATAAGAAAGTCTAAAAAGAAAGTCAGACCAATGCAAAACTGGCAACATAAATGCTTAATAGCAGCAAGTTACACTTTTTAAGGCATGTAGGTACTCTAACCCCAGCACTTCACACTCATCTAAGTTGAGGATTGACTCTAATAATATCCACATCCCTTTTTCGTCATCCACTAACTTTCCTCCTTGAACCTACTTTTGTCATAATTTTCGGTATAGCAAGATTTGCTGAAATTCATAAAATTGCAAGCCTGATGGTTCCACTTACCAGCAATTATTTTTGGGTAAATTTGGGCAGAAAGAAACCGAAGATGTTTCATGGTTTATCATGGTTTATCAACTCCAACATTTAGTTGGAACTATCTCACTCCTGTATATAGTGCTCAATACTTTTCTAGATTTTGATAGCTCCCTGATCTTAGCTTAGATATTCTGTACTGGAGCTATTATCCAACTCTTTCTACTCGCTGCATCTTCTTGATGCATTTAAATGAAATTCTCTTCATCGATAAAAGAAAGGAAAATGTAAAGCCTAAAGGAATTCAGACCAATGCAAATCTGGCTATATAAAAGCTTTATCACATCAAATACACTTTTGAAGGCATGTAAGTTCTCTAATCCCACCAACTCTCCACACTACCCCATTCGTCAATGCAAAGGATTGACTTCTAAAAATAGTGATCTCCCTTTCTCCTTCCTTCACTAAAAAATATCCTCTATCATCTCTCTTCGTCACATTTTTCAAGTGCTTACTCTTCAGTCCACAATTGGATGTTCCTTCAAGTGAGGGTAAAGTGAGTGAGAAAAGAAAGAAGATCCAATGATACTAGCTGTGATATCTCAATGTTGAACATGATGAAGATGTCAATTCTCATATTTGTCGTCGAATTCATCTATTCACTTCCTTCTCTATCAAACATAAAATCTCCTAAATACACAGCAGATCACAGATGAAAACAGCCAAAACAGACTACTCACAATGACCACCTTAATTACATTGCCTGCATATGTAGTGACATCTTAGACCACCATGAGACAATATACGAGGTAAGAATGCCAGCCTAATCATTCCCTCCCAAACTAGGATTACCACATAAAGTAAAATGAAACTTTTGAGCAAAACACCAAGTTTGAACTCTACATTACAAGCTCAACTCTGTAAATATGGCTTTTTGCACTGCCCCAAGTGCTTTCAATAGCAATGTTACCAGTTTCAATAATAAATAAATTACAAACTCAACAATTCAAAGGCTTACCAGGTCCATGAAAAGTATGACCATTAAATTGAGTTAAGCAGTTTCATTAATCTAGAGCTGTATGGATTACAACTTCTCCAAGGGTTCTTGGAACCTCTTTTCACTAACCTCAAAATATTTCATAATTGTAGACCATCTAACACCACACTTGAACTTAAATGAGAAATCTAATTCGAAATTTTAAGGCAGAATAACACTATGTATATTCAGATTCTGATTTTACCTGCATAATACAGAGAGTCCCATGGCGACAAAGATCAACACCCTCACAATCAAAACCAATCACCAGTTGTGTCTCAGCAGAAGGTTCCAAGAATTCAACAGGTAGTTCAGATGGATTAGTGACAACATGGATTGGCACTGTAGAAAATTGTGCCTCTTCTTCCCCTTGGATTTTTTCACCTAGGAAGACCAACATCAAATAACATTCCGTTTTCATTTCACATCCTCCTTTAATTTTCCTTTTACTTATGACAAAATTTTAGGTCAAATACCACATGCCATTGTTACTCATAGCTCGGAATATATCTATACAACCAAGAATCACATAAAAATAGGAAGTATAATGGTTAAAACAATGTGCTGCATCTATACTAAAACAGGTAAAAACAACCAGCAATTGAAATAGTTAATGAATCTCCATTAGAAAAACATAGAAACTTCGAACTTGCCTATATCCATTGATGCAAAACTAATGCGACCACAAAAAGTAGTAGAAAACGCATGAAAGTAAAAACCTAATTTCATGAAAATGGAGAATGTAACGCCCAAGAAATCCAAAAAAACAAAGAGATTTTGATCGCTAAAACGATGAATTTAAGGGACGAGGATTACCAGGGTCAGGAGGCAAAGCTTGTTGAGTAGACGCCATGTGATCGGAGCATCCAAGCAGATCGGCAAAAGTTTTCAGAGGGAAATATTCATTTCTTTTTGTTTCTGTTGATGTGTAAAGTTGGTTATATTTATATTATTAGAATCTTGAATGAAGATTTGTCTCGGTGTGAATCTTGTTCAAATCAAGGGATGGTCTAATTAATCACTTTTTCCTTATTTTACTTGTAGATTAAGTAGTCTTAAATTCAATTGTTGACCTATTTCCTTTTGATTTGAATAATGAGTAATTTAATATTTGGCCAAACTCATAAAAACATCTCTAAACTTGTTGAGTTTTTCCCTTTAAATAGTTTAACTATGTCATTTTCCTATTGAGTCATTGAACCACATATAATTTGTTCCTTTTGAACACTGTTGACTGATTTTGACCGACTTTTCTATTGTAACCGACTTTTCTATTGTAATTGTCTTCAATAGTGTTCGTATTATAATGAATTTGATTGAATGAATGAAGACAAATTGCATATTAATCTCATTTGTTTTCTAATGTGTTCAAATGACTTAAAATAAAGTACAATTATTCTCGATCACTATCAATTGGACTAATGAGTTATGGAACAATATATATATCCTCTAAATACCCTTTCCAAAATCTAGTTTCACATAAACCAACGGTGTTTAAAGGAATAAATTATGGGTGGTTCAATGATCCAATAGAAAAATAGCATAGTTAAGGTATTTGAGGGAAAAAACTCAATGAGTTTAGGGATCTGTTTATGTATTTGACCTTAATATTTGCTTATAAATAAGAGTACAGCCAAATACATGAATAGATCCCTAAATTTGTTGGGTTTTTCCTTTCAGGTACCTCAATTGTGCTATTTTGCTGTTGAATCATTGAATCACCCATAATTTGTTCTTTTATAACACCGGTGGTTGATATTGAATCAAATTTTGTGAAGGGTATTAATAGATGATGCATATGTTGTTCCAGAACACATTAATCCAATTGATAGTGAAAATGTTCGAGAATAATTGTGTTTTACTTTAAGTCATTTGAACACATTAGAAAACAAATGAGACTAACACAGAGTTTATCTTCATTCCTTCAATCAAAATCATTACAATACGAACACAATTGATGATATTTACAATAGAGAAGTCTATCAAAATCAGCCAGCAGTGTTTAAAAAAAACAAATTATGGGTGGTTCAATAATTCAATAAAAAAATGGCGTAGTTGAAGTACCTAGGGGGAAGATCTATTTATGAGTCCGGCTTAAGAATAACAATTCTATACATTGATAATTTGTTATTAAGTACATAATATGTTTAATATGGTTTCATTTTATATTTGTGTCCTCTAACTCACTTAAACTTGTATGAAGTTTAATGAACAGATTACACATGTCATACTTGGCATCTTACGGGATAATTTGTGTTTTGTGTATTATTTGTATATGTGGTTCAATTTTATTCAAATTTAAGTGTCTATGTGTGAACATGCAAAGTTGAAGGGTAAAAATGTGAAATGAAATCAAGTTATATGAGACATTTAGGTATTAATGTTAGGTTAGATAAGACAACATTGACATTTCTGACTATACATTTGAAAAGTTGAATATATATGAAGTAAAAACGAAGTATACACTGACAAATTCAATCTCGATCAACTCAAAATCACCTGTAAATAATCCCAAAATTTAGATATGAAATCCTCTCGATTGTTACAAAATTATTTTGTGATTTTCATCATCAATATCTACAGTTCATCACTATCAACTATTTGGTGAAGCAACACATTTTTATCTGCTCTTCAACCCATGCTATGTTTTCCAAATTTATGTGGACCAATAATATAAGGGAAATTGCAACTTGTTTCATTAAATAACTCATCAATTGTCATTTCATCATTAGTTAGAAAAGGGTATTGTTAGACATAGGACAGCATTTTAATAAGTACTACACTAGAGAACATTTTTGATCCTGCTCCATAGTACTATAGATGTTCAAAGGTAAAAAATACAATTTGAAAGTAAGAATATCAACTCAATAGATTGACAATCGACTTCATCAGCATACAACAGCTGAACTAAGCAATCACTGGGCAAACATACAATGTAATTTGCAGGTATGCTTATCTACAGCAACCAAATTAAAATACAGCTATTACATACTTTCTGTAGAAAAGAAAGATACAACAAATTGACTGAAACTACTACATTTTGCCAGGATGAGCAAATGGTCATATTCACAAGGTAAGCTACTTATAGATGTGTTAAACCTAAGTCATATTATTTCTCTCTTGTTGTATAGACTGAAATATCCGAGCTACGGATTCTGTAGCAGACCTTGCATTGTGAGGTACAACCTTGATAACTCTGGCTGGATTATCAGGCACACAAGCCTGAGGGCTACCATCACGGTTGTCAGTAACTGGAGACGTGGGAAAAAGAGAGAGCATGTTTCTTCCTGCTGTCTCAATAGGACTACTTGCACTGCTGGCTTGTACCTCATTATCTTTTGTGGATTGATACCTTACAACATCCGGGACATTTTCTTTCTTCTGATTTAGAACATTACTTGAGTCCTGATGTTGAATGTTGACGTCATCAACTACTCCAGAAAACTGGTGTTGTAAACCAGGCATGGTATACTGGTTCGATTCTTCACTAGCAGTTGATGAAATTGGTGGATTCATAGCTGGCATGCCATATTGCCGAAAGTAACCATGACCAGTCGGAGGTGCAAAAGGAACTCCCATACCTTGATAGTGAGGATTAGGAGCAGGAACTCCATATGTTGGAGCAAAAAAGTTCCCCATTGTTGGACTCGATCCTGGAGGCCCACTTCCACAAATAGGACTCGTGAATCCAGGTCCAGGAAATGGCTTGTATACAAGTCCCTCAGAAGGAGACATCACTGGGATCAACCATTGGTGCCCGGGAGGTTGTTGGAAGCACCAAGGACCCGCATTAGAATCATTTGTTACAGGTGTAGGCAGTGGAGTTCCTGAAAATGGTTTGTGGCTAGAGAGTTGACTACCATTTTGCACAGTAGAGAGAGATGCCTTTCCCACATTGCTTTCGGCAGTGTGTTCCATCCTGAAGTGAGGCTTCTCAGAATCATGCTTGCGCTTCAGAACACTTTGAGATTCTCTAACAATACAGTCCAATGGAAGTCTTTTGATCGATGAACTCTTTAAAGGTTTGCCTAAATAAGCAGGATCTTCGAGCGAACTATTTGGTGACCCGGCAATGAGCCTTTGTACCTATTAAAACAACAGGTAAAAATGCATGAGTGACGTATTAATGCACAAAAACCAGTATTTATAGATCATATATTCATATTCAGCCACTGGAGTAGCTTTACCTTTATTAGTCGATGCAACTCGAACACTTGGATTGCAAACACTCTTTGCTGGCTGTACCAAAACAATGGAGAGAGAGTCAGTTAAAGAAAAGAGCAAATAATAAATAGAAAGAGATTATCTCTTCAAATGCATGAGGTCAAAAGTATCTACTACATTAAATATAACAAGACAACTGAAAAATCATTTTGAAGAGACTAAGCCACACAACATATAAAGTGTCTACAGTCAATTAACACCAAATAGTAATATCGTAATCTACAAAGAGGTAGTCTACAATACGTATGCAAAAAGAGAAGTTCTGCACTAGTCCACCAGTTCAGACCAAAAAATGCCACTAAATTTATTTCTCTTACGCAAAAAACATGTCATATTCACATGAACTGATGTTCACAAAGCTCAAAATCCCTAGCGGAGCCTATGCCATGACTAAGATATGTTTGGAAACTCCTCCCACTTTGTAGATGATCAAAACTTTTACCAAAATATAGCACATACAGTGTTCTTTAAAGCCATTATCCTTCATAGTTTATTCCCAATTAACATGCTAGTTGCCTATCTTCTTGTCACACCAATGCCACCACCATAAACGAGTTAATGTTCCCAGAAAGAGTGGTTTACAACACAAGAATAAGGACAAAGAGGAAAAGAAGTCCCAGCAGAATATAACAAATCGTCAGTCAATATTCAATAAAATGCTCCAGTGCCAGCCAGCTCACCTTGCACAAAGTATATGGTCTAACATGATCCCCACACTGCTATATATGAAGGTGATCCACCACTGAAATCCTTCAAGGGCTGTTGTAAACGATAATTGCCACTTTGAGGAAACCATCAGACGGTATCTAGAGAGAAAGTCATTCAACTCCTACAATCATGTCATACGTTTCCTTCAAGAATTAGTTCAGCCCCAACGCATGAAAAGCGTGATACCAGGGAAAGCCTTAATTTGGCATTATCTAATCCAGCAATAGGATACCACTGACATCTCTAAGAGAATATAAAAGCTACCCAAAGTAGTATTCTAGAGGCTAGATCCCATCCAATTGTGCCTAAATATAGCAATACTGTATCAAATTTAGATTACAAAGACAAACTTTCCTCCCCCTATTGTTGGATAAAATATTGTAAAGACTAACAAAAAAAAACTCAGGCAAACAAATAGATGAACAAGAAATGCTACAAAGCTCAAGATTGTTATTCACAACACAACCATTTACACGCCCAAACATTTTTTTTTTATAAAGACTTCAAGATCCCTAAATATGTACTCAAAATTCATCAATTGGCAAGACACGTCACCAAAAAAGATCATTTGGGCTCTGGAGATATTGATGGACAAGTCATGATTAAAAACATAGCAGCTGAGAAATAAATATGCTATTACGCAAAAGGTACCAACGAAAAGAAGTGTCTGGTATACAAACATCCTTTGTATTCAACACATGCTTTAAAACAGCACACGCGCAATCTTATCTATAGAATATGAAATATATCAGAGAGCATACCCTTATACTTATAAGGACCACGAGGATGCATACAAGGGGGTTCATTTTGTCTCACGCTGCAAATTATGATCTTAGTGGGACTGGGTAGTACAACCATCAGGAAAATAAAAGTCACTCTAAAGAAAAGCTAGTCAATAAAATTTCTCCACCCAACTGGCAAAGGAATGCTACATATTTGATAGTTTGCATGATCTGACAAGGATATTAAATGTCAATCTGAACGCAGCACGAACTTACTTGACAATTGCTCTTCTGGCTTTCCAGAAACGCTTTAAGCCAATTATTCCTACAATGTCATCAGGAGAGATGTCTGTTCCAGAAATAGATTCCACTCTGGAAGTCTCAGATAAGTCGTCACCTCGGTCCAAATTTCCTGTTTGTAATGATTTGTGTGCCCTGTCTTCCTGGGATTCCGTATCATTAACAAGATCATTAGCAGTTAACTGCTCTTCTGATACAAATTCTTTCCTAGGATACGAACTGCCATCATATGTTCCCTTAACAGGTTCAGGTATGCTACTACAACCAACCTGAGGATCCAATCTGCATTCTGGTCATTAAGAAAGGTTGGACTTAGATAATGTACGGAAGTCATTAGAAGACTCATATATTGGTGTGAAATGCAAAATCTTTATCAACTTGTATCAGAAGACAATCTAGATAGTTTACCCTTGGATGCAGAGTTTGAGGTTGTTTTCTCTCTACGAGCAAGAGTACATTTGAGATTCTCCTTGTTTTGGCTATTGCGCTGTTGTCTCAATGTTAGATGTGTAACTCCTTCCAACTCTTTATTAGGACAAAACAGTTGACCAGAGGGTGAGAGCTTTTCCATATTCACATTATGACTCCCATGGGCCTGACCGAGCTTGGAATTAACAAAGATGGGGACCGTAAAGTCATCCTCTTCTGTTCTCTTTTTCAATTCATATTGTTGCAAGAGAGTACTGGGATCGGAACTGTGGCCAGGTGGTTTATCAGCTAGACGTCTAGATGGAGGGTGTTGTATAGGGAGATATCCACTTCTGTCATGCCCACTCCCCTACAAGAAGTACTCGCTTCAAGTCAGCTTACAAATTCAACGAACCAGTAAATTAACAGCTATTGATGAACTACACAGTCAATGAATATAGCCCCAGAGAGAAATGGTTTAACATCAAGAAACCTCTAAAAGCCCAGCAGTAATATCACTACACAGATTAAGAACATAATTACATGGGACTATAAATGTCAAACTCACATTTTCACTGACCCCAGTACAAATCCAAGGAAAAATACAACATTGACACAGCTAATATTACATCTTTCTGATGGAAATACTGACTTCCCAAATCAAAAGATCAGGCACATCCAGATGATGATCAACACAAGTTAATACAAAAAGAGAAATACTTGTACTCATACAGAGAGAACAATTGACCCTTCCATGATATGTCAAGGAATGCACTTAAGTCAAACAAAGTTAAGTGAATATTACTACATTAACATATACACTAACTACAGGATTTTCTTCCCTTATAATCTCTAATTCTTGAAACAAAAGCTAAAAATTCAAACAGAAACTAACTGTAACACAAGAGGACAGAGGTATGCTAAATAATTAACACCCAACAACCACTCAAAACAATAAATCAAACTACAGAAAATTCAAAAAGACATATCACGTTCACATAGGTGTGAGAACTTATTCTACCTGGCTTGAGGATGGAGGGGCCATCTTTGAAGTATTGTTAGGATCAAGAGGCAAAACCCCAGAGTTGAATCTCTGAGAAGGTATACTGAGCTGCTCATATAAAGCCATCTTATTCCTTGGAGGTGCTCTTGGACCTCCTTTATCTGTATCATTAACATGAAGTCTTGGAAACATAGGCCCCATAACTTTCTCTTCACCTTTCCCTCTCTTCATTATTTTTCCTCTCCTAACCTTCCTACAGATTCATCAAACACAGTCCAAATTAACTAATTCACAAGCACCACCCCCTCAAGAACTCAAAAAGATCAAATTTTTTCCATCATAAACAGTAAAATCTAACAGATCAAAACAAAAAAAAAGTCAGTTTCTTGACTGCAAAACAACACAACAGAGAAACCCACCAAAATTTCAAGCCAACAAAGAAAACCCACCAAGAAAATCACATAATTCCACCAACCCAGAACCCAAAAACCGACTCTTCACCTCAAAATCAAGATATTTCTGAAATATCCTGCAAAAGACATGAACTTTGAACAGTAAAATATCTGCAGTTGGGAAATGATAAGAATCAGGAAGAGCCAAGCAAATTTAAAGTAGCCAAAAACAAGAACTGATTCTCAGAAAAAAAGGGAATTAGGGATTCCTAAAATGTCAAAACAAAAGATCAAAGAGGAAAGGGGTACAAAAGTGCCTAAGTGGGGGACCCAAGTTATGGATAGAGCATAGAGAGAACCTAGAAAGATTGTTTTTTTTTTAAAAAAAAAAAAGTATATATATATATATATGTATATTATTATTGGAAAAAAGATAAGATTTTCTAACGCTTTTTAGTGCAACTTTTGTCTCAAATCTGTAATAACCAAGTCATTAGTTTCAATATCAATTTTGTATACGTCAATAAGAGTTTGCTTTTGGTAATAAACAATTGGCCGGTAAAAGGTTGTTTGGTTGGTCCTATTAGAAAATATATATTAGTTATTATAGTATTATTTAGTAATATAATTTTTTTCATAGAATTTTAAGCTCGTGTATAGTTGTTTTCATAAATTTTAGGAATAATAAATATAAATATTATATTTGTGCTTTATAGCTATAGTTTTGCTATTTGCACTCTATAGCAAAATATCTGATTTGTATAAATCACAACGATTTATATAAATCAAGCGTTTGCGTCTATGAAAATTGTGTTTGTATATGTCTATGTTCTTTGTGTAAGGTTAGAATGGAGAGCAAAATTAGGAGAGAAATTGAGAGAGGGCGAAGAGTGGAGAGAAATAAATTGTATATGTATAACGGTTAGATATTTGGATGTATATAACTGTTATGTATATGTATTAATGATTGTGTTTGTATATCTGCATAAATTTTGAATTTGCCCACAATTAAGTCGAGTCAATATACAATTTAATCGAGATAAAATATTTGTATTTATATATTAAATCTCTTTCTCACTTTATAAAAACACAAATTATACATTGTATTTGTATAAATCTAGAGAGAAAGGAAAAAGAGAACAGACAAAGGAAGATTTGTAATGGCATAAATATAAGTGTATATGAGAGAAATATATGTATTTGTATGTACAGTCTCTCTCGCTTTATACAAACACAATTTATACATTTGTGTTGTATAGAGTGAGAGAGGCGAGAGGGAGAACTGAGAATGGCGAGCGAGATTTAGGGGAGAGAGACGGATGACAATGTGTTTGCAGCGAGTTGTAATTAAATAAAATTGTAGTTATCACATTTATTTTGAATTAATAGTTTGGTATAATGCACAATCTTCCCCTATTTAATCATGCATTCTATTCAACATATTTAAATGAGAAACTTACATAAATATACTATGATAAAAAATATTTACCATTTATAGCAATAACATTTTTTTCACTTGACCACTTTTAATTCATTTATAATACAAGTTTAATACATATTACAAAGATAAATTTATTATTCAAATATAATACAAGTTTTAATGATAGATAATACATTTATCACACATTTTAATACACTTATAATATAATGTGATAATTTTTTACCAAACAAACATAATATATTTAAAAAAACAATTATAATTCATATATATTGCACACATAATTCACTTTTAATACATATTATAGTTTTATCACAATATTACTATAAATGGTAATAACAAAAAGTATCTCTAAAATCAGTAATTATTTTTAAAAATATATTAATTTATGTAATTTTTCCTATTGAAATCTTATACGTTTGATATACAACGATATACATTTGGTATACAACAATATACAAAATTCTTATATATACTTTTTTACGAAAAATGTTTAAATCTTGATATAAACACTATTAAGAACTCAATATACAATATTATATAAATTTATTTGAGATATTTATACACCCATACAATAATATACAATATTATCCATTAATATACAAAAAAATGAACTTCATCCACTTCCTTTTATCCAAGCATCAAATTAATCCAAAAACAGCTCAAAAGTTTAAATTGCACCAAATCACCCAAGATTTCATATTTAGGCTTCTCAATACATAATCGAGAGAGATATCGAGAGAGAGAGAGAGTATGTGTGTGTATTTGGTGCATAGGGGACGTTGAGGAAAAATAGATTTCTCTGTTTTAAAAAGAATTATCTAGTTTGACTTGGCACGAAGTTTAAGAAAATAAATAAGATTTTGAATCTTGTGGTTCAAATTTAAAGTTATGTAAAATGCATAAAATTATCCTTTAAATTTGCGGTCTTAAACATGTCACGTGAAAAAATAAAATTAAAATGTTACCAAAAAAAGAAAGATGTCATTCATTTTGAAATTGACCAAAATAAAAAAGAAAATCATTCTTTTTTAAACAAAGTAAATAGCAAAAATTGGTTATGTTTAAAAATCTTGACCCGTTTTAGTGATATACTTGGGTCAATTTACTTTCTAAGTAATTATCTCTAAAGCAAATTAAGGATAATTCATATATGAATAAGCTCGATCATATATATATATATATATATATATATATATATATATATATATATATATATTAAATATGTGATATAATATTCATATTTGCATGTACTACTATTTTAAGAATGAGTTAGAAAATAAGCAATAAGTTCTTTTTCAAATTAGAAACATTACTTCTCATTAAATTTGAAATTTCGTGGTCATTATCAATTAAAGTATTTATTCTGAGTAAATATGAATAGTAATTTTGTTTAGCCAAATGGATAACTTAAAGTGAAAGAAAATGAGTGACCACACGAATAATAATAATAACAATAATAATAATAATAATAATAATTATTATTTTCATTTAATAAAATAAACACTTAGTTGATAACAAAAGTTTCTTTGTCGTTTTAATTTTTGGGTAAATCTTACAATTAAAAAACAGTAGAAAGATGTCAGATACTTTCTCAATTCACATTTATTTATCCCCGAGGTTTATTGAATACATCAATACTATTAAAGTAACTAAGTATACAAAAGCAAAAGCCTCTCAGGTGACTATATGTCTAACTTGATATAGAAGATGCAAGGTTCATGTATCTAATTTCTCAAAATTGGTGAGGATGTAAAAACTGAGGACATATGTAACGATCCTCAGGTCAAAATACAATATTATTATATGCCTAAGTTATGTAGAATGTAAATTATAGGGACATATATAGATTTTTTTGTATTTTCCTCTTATTTTTTCTATTTGATCATTCCTATAGCGTTAGTTTTGACTTCATATGCTCCGAGATAGTTTTTATGTTTGAAAGTTAAAAACTTAGAAAGGTTGACCAAAGTCAGTATTTGGGATAGTCAAAGGATGATTTATAGTATAGTTAAATGTTCACAATGTTTACCGACAGAATGCTTTTGGGAGTGTTTTGGAAACTTGATTGAAGTTTGAGTTCTTCATAAGCTTAGAGTTGACCAGGATTAATATCTGATTAAAAAAATTAAAATACTGATTTGACGATTTCATAATATGACTTAACAAGTTCACGCACTTTCTTTTATTTACCAGGAACCACAAAATCCTCAGGTTGTTCCATGTACATTTCTTCGTCCAATTCTACATTTAAGAAAGTTCTTTTCACATTCATTTGATGAATTTGAAGGCCATATACCACACTAATAATTTTTGCATCCGAATGGATGTAATTCTAATTACTAATGAGTATATATATATTGACAAGATCAAAACCTTGGCTTTTTTTTGTCTAAAGCCTTTGACACAAGTTTTGCTTTATATTTTTCAACAGTTCCATCAACTGTTATTTTCCTTCTAAAGATTTACTTTGAATCCAAAGGTTTATTTTCTTGAAGAAGATCAATTAACTTCCAATATTGTTTATTGACATCATCTTTACAAAGAATGAGTCTACAGAAGACACAGAAAATGTTACAAAATCATATTCAAAGGAAGTAAATGTACTTTAACATTTATTAAGCCTCTGAATCTTTTTATTAAATATATTATCCTTTTCATTTCCTAGGTCTTTTAGACCCTTCTTTAGACTACTCAAGTCTAACTTTACAGTCCACAGTCATAGGTCCTATTTTAGTTCTTTTAGGAATGGGAACTTGGACTTTGACTAGATACCCCCACTTTTTGAAATATTTCAAGTTGGATTTCCTTCCTTTTCATTTATCATATGGAAAAGATTGTATTCTGATCAAACAATCGCTTTCTTTCTAAAAAGACAACTTTTTGTTGTTCCCTTTTGAAGTAAGGATAGTTCCTCCACACAAATTTTGTGTAAACCCGAACTTATAAATAATGCATCCATCATTTCTTTCAACGTTTGGTTTTTCATTAGATTGAGGTGAATATGGCAGTAGTTTGATGGATATTCCACTTTCCAAATATATTTCTGCACAATGAGATTTATACTCTCCATTCTTATCACTTCTTATATTTTTTCACACTGATTTTCAACTTCGATATTACATTGTCTAGACATTTCTATTGCTTCATCCTTACCATTCAGCAAATAGACACAGTCATCTATAAAGTAATTCTCAATAAAAGTAACAAATACTTTTTTCCACGATGAGATGGTGTTAACTTCATATCACAAATGTCAGTGTGAATCAATTCTAAGGGATTAAAATTCCTTTCAACAGATTTATAAGAATGTTCAACATACTTAGATTCCACAAAAGTTTGACATTTTTATTTATTGCATTCAAAGTTAGGCAAAACTTCTAAGTTTATCAGTTTTCCTGACAAGGTTTTGTAATTGACATGTCCCAAGTGTTCATGTCACAAACATTGACTCAAGCAAGTAGAACAAATAAAAACATTGAGTTTGAAAAGCTCTTCACGAGGTAGTTTTTTCCTCACTAATATTTTGTTCCTATTTCTTACAATTTTGTGTGATACAAACATTGTTTAGTTTGTCAAATGTCCTTTTCAGAAGGACATTTTCATAACTTTCAATATGATTGTTATAGAACTACCCATGAACAAAGTTTCATCGGGTTCAATAAAGACAATATAGTCCAAATGTTATTTTTACAAAAACATAACAAATGACTATTCACCAATATTCATGTCTATGCAAATACTTTTATTATAATAGACACATCTTTTCATGAAAAAACATTTTAAGTGATATTTGTTTTTCCATAAAAGAACACAATTATTTTGAACAAGTATATATATAATTTGGATGTTCCATACTAGTCACACTATATACTAGTTATAGAGAAACTCAACAACCACAATACCAAATATACTCCAAGAATTT